AGTTAGTTTATAATTAGGAGAATTTTTTTAAAAACTTTACGGTAACTTCGGTAATTTTTAAATACCGATGTATTTGAATAAACTTTTTTTATAAAAATAACTCGACAGCACTATTATGTATATTTCAAAAAATTCATTGCTTACAATGACTGCTTGAACCGAGAATAATGAATTGTGCAAGATGCCATGATCAGCTGACTTATTAGGTATGTTTTCCGTTTACCTATTTATTTCTTTTCAACATCAAGAACTTTGGTTTAGTTATGCTATGTGTCTAAAGGTGCGTTTAGATTTGCGCACGGCATTCGTTCACGCTCTCGGCTCCGTTCAAATTAAAAACTTATTTTTCGACGAATGAAGTCCATGATCCACTTGTGCGCGCACAAATGATCCACTTGTGCGCGCACAGCAGAGTTGTGTTGGCGAAAATAATGGACGACCAAGAAATAGCCGGGGCTGCAGTCATTGTTATGCACAGCTTAATTATTAAAAAGAAGAAAAATCGAAAACGTCGCTGGTGGCAAACCCAAATTTTTAGAAATTGATATAATTTACTGCAACAACTTAGTGTCTGCGAGGATGGCTATGATCAGTTCAAAAAACAAAACACAAACACCAAAAATTATGAACAAAAGATACAAATTTTAGAATAGCGATTTCATTAATATCGACATAATCAATATTAATTTTATTTACAAGGTCTTGCCATACGTTATTTTTTTTTTGGTTTTTTAATAATACGAAGAATGTTTAACATCCCATAATATAAGCAACTTTTCATATTCTTCATTTAATAATAACGAAGATTCATTGATCCTCTCCATAATTTTAATAAAGAAAACGAAAAAAACACGCACGCACGAACGCAGACAAAACAAATTGCCGGTGCAAACTGAGCGTTCGCGCACACATAAAATCCCTTTGAGCACGGACCAAAAACTAAAAACTGACACCAGACGGCTCACGTTCGCGGCTGCTCGCACACAGACAGATTCAGAGTGAGCGTGCGCGCACAGCCGTTTACATTTGAGCATTCGCGAAGGATCAGTGCGTGCGTGCTCAAGTCTAAACGCACCATAATAAGACGCGTTGAAAGATAAAAACGTATATATTAATTTTTTGTTAAAATCCTTCGAATTGCGGATTTTTTGACAGTAACATTCCTTTAAACTGAGGTCTCGTTAATTAAAGCCGTTAAAGTGAAAAAACAGATGTAGGAAAAACAATAAATACTCCTACTACATAATTTAATAATTTTTGTTGTGCAAAACCGTCAGAAACCTTCATATTGTCTTGTTTTTGGATAAAAATTCTTCAGCCCTTCAATCGACGAAATTTGACTAAATTCTTCATATTGAAAGAAATCCTTCAATTCTGTCTGGCACACTGATGTAAAGTGTCTTAAAGATGGGCTATTTTTTACTTTTCTTATTAAAAAACAAAGACCTTTGATGTTGGATGACATTTTCATCGGAAATAAATCATATACACATTGATATATTTATTTTCCAAAGCTTTGAATAATGGTTTGGCTAAAAGCAAAATGATGCTTGTTTTAAAATACCTTTTAATTCCTTGTCATGGGTGTAAAAATACTGTTTATACCGAACAAGTTTTCTAGAAAAAAATGACTATAATTAATGATAAATGCAGTTTACGATGGCACCTTTGGTATATCACCGAAAATTACGTTAATCACAATACACCAAAACAATTTTTTATGGCTTTGGACACACGTTTCGTTAACTATATAGCGTCACCATCATTAAAATATTTGTGATTAATAAATGGGATAGATATATTTATTAAGCAGCTAAGTATATGTTTTTTTTTTGGATTATTTTTTTACCGATACATTTAAAGGATGATTCACGCTATACCGTGACGGGTCCGAGCCGTGCGTCGGTGAAGACACGGCCAAACATTGCCAAGTGTTATTTACACATATACATTCATGCCAGGCCGAGCACGATCCGAGATTCGCCGGAACTCGTCCGTGCCCCGTCACAGAAATGTCGGTGTACATTTTTTTCTCGGATCCGCTTCGTTCCCGCCACGTTGCGGAAAGCATATATGTACTTTTCCTGGTGCCCCGACTGCAATCTGCAGTCTGCAATCATTAAATGCCGAACGCTTATTTTCCTACTTTTTAGGACGAATGAAATGGCCTCTTACAAACTGATTATCTGATTTCTCTAATCGATTCACTTTTATAAGAGTATAAGCAGTAATCACTTGGAGACTGAACCTTTCATATAGCTCTTTGCCAATGACATCATCGTTTAATACAAAGAAGTACTGCACATTTGCAAGGTTATCGTACTGGAAGAATGTTGTATTCTGGCGTTTTTTCTTCTTCTAATTGACAATCTGCACCTGGCTTCACATGTTACTTCCATTAGGTAGCTGGTTGGTTGTTGAATTTGCAGTGTCCCCTGTTAATGACAATTTTGATAGTCCTTTGACACCAGAGTTACACCATTATAAGAAAAAAAGATATTTGAATATATTTTTTATTTGTGTCCCAAAGCTACACTATTAAAATATATTTTTTTTCAAGGACACGAATTAATATTTATAAATAGCCTGGAAACGGCGTCTACATGTCTCCCAACAGATATATAATTGTGAAAACGTTTATTACGTCTCTAAATTATACATCTGTTCGTTTATTTTTAAAATTTCTCTTTTATTTTCATTTTTCAAATGGTCTATATAATTTTTTATTTGGCTGTTAACAAAAAGTTTTTATTTTATTACCATTCATCCTTGGAAGTGTGTTCTAATTTTATTTGAAACTAAATGTTATTAATTGATTGACCTTGACCATAAAAGAATCAGCTTTGAGACGGGTACCATCATTGTGCTAAATGGTACGGTTAATTGAATCAGTGATGATATGATTCAGGCTTTCCCGACGTTAATTAAAAAATCTATATTTTTTTCAGTTAGTATCATGATCCTATCTTAAACGAGTTAAAAAATTATAAACTAGATTTTAGTTAAATTATTTGAAGGTTGCTGTAATATTTTTCTAACAAATTTAAAATGAATATTCTCATATGTATCCAAAATTTTTGTGCACACTGTATGTCTTACTGTAGTATTAAAATGTGTATTTTTTACGTTTTTTAGGAATATTTCAGTGGTTTGAGTTACTCTAGCGATAGTTTGACTTGTTCGACCCATAATTAAGAAAAATTCTGATGATTTCGTCCATTTAGTTAGAGGCATCGGTTCGAAACGTCGAGACCTGTAGCCAGTCCCCAATTATGCCGAAATTGACCCACATTTGTTTTCAATATCAAATCCTTAGTCCCACCCTGATGAAGATGTGAACGAAACGTCGTATGTCGTATCCAACTTTAGCACCGTAGCTCACATAGCCTACCCAACAAATTTGGTCGCGATCGGAAGACATCAACTCTTGACGTTTCTTACGTCAAAACTAAATGTCACAGTGACACATGTCGTACATGTCGAATTTCATTTAAATCGGACGATTTTTTAGCCATTGATGATGATGATAGCGATTCTTTTTTACACATGGTAAAGAAATGCGTTGTTATCATCCCGTTTGGATTTAATATGGGATTCTACCCTTTCAACAAACGTTTTTCCAAAATCCTTTACGTCCATTATTAAAAATTAATCTAAAAAAATCGCGAGATTTAAATCAATTATTACACCATATAAATATCGGCCGGTAAACGAGAAATAAACAAAAACATAACCTTATTTTTACCAGAAGTGAAAAACAACCGAGAACCAACCCACCAAACATTCAAATGAACCTGTCACTTCTAAATTATGATCAATTGAAATCAGATGTTTCTGAAAAGTTCACTGTTTCATCGTCAAATAACAGCTGTCCGTTGCCAAGACCAAATTTTAAAAATACAATATCAGACTGAAAATAGGAGACATTAATTTTCATTTCTTTTCAAAGCCTCGTTTTGTTCCTGAAAGACAAAATTTGATAAATTGATGCCAACGGTTTAATTCATTATTTGAAATTTTTAATCGATTAGCTAAATAGATCACGTGTTTATTTATTTACTATCGGTAGTTAATAATAAATTCTAAAACACACTGTGTGTACATTCTGTTATGTAGTTAGGGAGGCGTTTTAACAGCGTTAGAATAGTTTTGAATTGCGATGTGGCAGACAGCGATGGCAACGATGCCGAATCCACGCCAACTGCGCGTAGTGACTCGTGGAAATTCCCACTGACGCTGTCTCTGCCAAAAGCGCATTGCCTCCAATCCTCTATCGTAAACATACATTTTTTACCTTATAACTTATATTTGAGGTGTTCAGAAGTGAACTGGATCAGGTCCTAGGAGATAATTATGGAGAAAATGAGAGTTATTTTTTTTTTATTGTTACTTAATTAAAATAAAACAAGCTGGAGAAGAAAACTTAACACGATGCTTTATTATATTTTTTTCCATAGCAACTGTTAAAATTGCCTTATATGTAGATAAAATAGTACCTTAATCGCAAGGGTAGATTAAATGATATTTTAACAGCGAGGATAGGTTAAAAACTTTATTTCTTCTCGCACGTTTTTTAATTGCTTCCATTTTTGAAAATTTTTGTATTCCTTTTCATAAATTATTAGGGATTTAAATGGAAGTAGTTTGGATATGGCGTTTGTCGCCTCAGCCTGAATATCTGTTGGTAATTTACTTATTTCGTTTTCAGCCATTTCTGTCTCCAATTCAATCAGCAATCGACACGAAAGAGAATTAAAAAATATTGACTCAAAACTGACAACTAAAGATACAGCTTTATTTGTTTGTCAAATATTACATAGAAACCAACACCAACCCAGCACAATATTTTTTCTACTCGTAATAAGTTCCTTGAAATTATAATTTCTGAATATTTTTTAAAACGTAACTGGCTATAGAAAAAATATTGTTTTATACACGACGATAAAATTGCATTATCGTCTCCCGAAATTAATTCACTCGCGATTTCATCGCTCGTAGAAAGAAATTTTAGATATAAAATGGTCCATCGGTACATTCTTCTTCGTCATTAAGGGATTTGTTAATAGTGTTTTCTTCGATTTTTATAAAAATTATGGTATATAGGCGGGATAAGGGGAAGAAGATACTTCATGTGTCAGCCTTTTAGAGTGTGTTATGTTACGTCTATATAAAATGATAAGATTTTTCTTCCTCGTGCAGTTTTATTCAGATCAACATGTCAGATATCTAAAACGAAAGAAAAACAGCCTAATTTATTGATGTAGTAATAGTGAAAATAATGATAAATGAAACTATTCTTTCAGAATCCATAGAATCTAGAATCTAACCTTTCAGATGGCTGATAATCTGATTCACTTGGTGCAAATGGTTCAGACTTTGTTTCATTGTCATCCATTTTATCAAAAAAATAGCTCTAAACTTTAGCACGTGTGTTAAAATCGCACGCAGCGTTAAATTTGATGGACTTGATCCATTTCACATCTGAAAGAAATCAACAGAATATTCAGAAACCAAACAGAAACAGGCTATAAACGACTTGACTCATTTCTCTATTGGAAAAAACAATATTTTATAAACGTATAAAGACGATTATATTAAAATAGTAGAAAATTGGACTTGATTCATTTTAATTCTGTAATCTACCAGCCCTGTGTGAAAATATTTGCCCTCATTTAAGAGACTCACTCTGTATAATAAATAGTGAAGATGTACCTAAACAGGCTGACTTTAAAAAGTAGCACAACCGGGAGTATTACTTAGACAAAAAATACTCCTCAAGATCTATTGTGTTCTCCTTACAGACCTGTAATCTTACAGATCTATTGGATTGTCATGGATCTCGGATTGTCACGGGGTTTCTAACAGGACACTGTCTCCTCAACAAACACCTCAGTAGACGAGACGACAACCGTTCTTGCTTATAAACTTTGGTACGGCTGATGTCGAAGTTGGAGAGCTGGCCTCAGTGGAGTCGTCTCAGATACTGGCTTTTGTCAAAGCGTTGAGACTGTATGATGACCCGCTATACATAACCCGGCTATAACTCAAGAAAGGGCTAAACATTATATATTCTACAGATCTATTTTGTCAATCTCAGGGCTTTGACAAAAGCCAGTATCTGAGACGGTTTTACATAGGTTAGTTCCCCATCTCCGATATCAGTCGTACCAAACTTCGTGGCACGAACGGTTGTCGTCTCGGCACACTCATTATGAGGTGTTCTGGTGTTTCCCCAGTTTCCCCACAGAATCTACATTCGCCATTACTTCTTAATTTCATTCTAATATACAGGGTGTCCCAGAACTAAGTGCAAGTATTTTAAGGGGTAGTAGATCTCAATAAAAGAAACATATTTCCATATAAGTCAAAAATAACGGAGTTATTTTACTTTGAAAATTTCCAAAAAAAAATATTTTTTGCTAAAATTTTGAGAACCACTGGATCTTTTCGGGATTTTCTTTCTTGTAAATTTAATCTAATGCCTATGTTGCCATATTATCAAGAAATTATGTTTTTTAACTAAAAACTAAAAAAAAATCCAATTTTCAAATTTTTTTTTTTCGTAAAAAAACCTCATAGGCGTGTTTCTAGTGTTGAACTATACTACCAGTTACAATACTTGCACTTATTTCTGGGACACCCTGCATATACAGGGTGGTCCGAATTGTATTCCGGAAACTTCGGCAACATTCTGCAGATAAAAATAGGTAAAAAAGTTCGTATAAATGTATGTCCTAAAGTGCTTAGTTTCGGAGATACAGGGTGTAGAAATTTCATTTTTATTTCGATTTTTTCCAAATAATTTCTGAAGTAACGTCAATATTTGGATGAAAATTGGTGTGTGGGAGGTTTTTGACATGAGAAATTTGATTTTGATGTCAATATAACTCCTACTCGTAGGGGGCGCCACGTACATGTGTTTTAACTGTTTTGAAGCGTAATAACTTTTTGTCCGTACCCGTATAAAACTAACGAGGGAAAAAATATACATTTCTGTGTAAATCGCTACGAGCAACCGTTCTCAAGATATTTAGAATGGAAATAGTCAATACATGCCATTATTGACGAGAAATAAACACGTTGAGAGTATATAGTTATTTCACTGAAATAATAAATTTGGCAAATTTTTATTTTTTTAAATTAATCATATTTTTTCTGCAAAAAAAATGATAAAACAGTTTTTGTTGAACTTTTGGTACAAAAACATTTCAAATTTATGATCTCAGTCTAATAACTATTTAGTCAACATGTTTAATTTATGTCAGTGATGACAGGTATTGATAATTTCGATTCCAAATATCTCGAAAACCGTTACTCGTAGCGATTTTTACCAAGAGACCTTTTTTACGTAAAAAGCGTCGTAAATGTATATTTTTTACTCAGTAGTTTTATACAGGTACGGACGAAAAATTATTACTCTTCAAACCAGTTAAAAAATATGTAGGTGGCGCCCTCTGCTAGTAGGAGTCATATTGACATCAAAATCAAATTTATCATGTCAAAAAACTCCCAGACACCAATTTTAATCCAAATATTGACGTTACTGCAGAAATTATTTGGAAAAAATCGAAATAAAAATGAAACTTCTACACCCTGTATCTCTGAAACTAAGTATTTTTGAACATACATCTATACGAACATTTTTACTTATTTTTATCTGCAGAATATGCTGCCGACGTTTCCGGAATACAGTTCGGACCACCCTGTATATTCGATATTCGTTGATGAGGTAGGGTCCTGTAAATACCCCGTGACTATCCGGAGATTTTTCTTAGTTAAATCAATTAAAATCTTTGATTTTTCTCGGTTGTATGTTCTGGATATTCTGCAGCGTGGATTTCTTACATCTAAGAAAAAACAGCTATCATATAAAAAGAAAATATTGTAAGTAAACCTTTAAAACCGGAAAACACCATGCGAAAAAACATTAAAACGAAGCATTAAAGCATAAATATTTAATTTTATTATTCTACCAATGGCGCGCATAATGGCTCTTAATTTATATCCATCATAAAACCTGTATGTATACACATCGCATTAATCTAAAAAAATCTATTATTAATGAACAATAACGGTTTAGATCTAGCCATAAACCACTGACATGACTGATCTAATATTTCGCCCACTGTATATACGTCCGATCGTCGTTTCTAGAACAACTGACATCACCTTCCGTCGTTAAGTACCCCAGACCAACGACTATTAATGCTGCTGGCTGCTGCTGGTACTTTGGCATTGCGTAAACACCTCCGCCGTACTCACGATTTTCCACTTAGAAACAGTATAAGCAGCCGGCGGGTTATCTAGACTAGAGATCAGAGTCCTGTGGAATATACAGGATGGTCCAGTAAAAAACTCTTCAGGATTCATATTCGATGTTTTTACTATAATCTTTTTTTATAAATAAGCCCGTATTGGTAGTGCAGATTTTAAAACACAGTTCATTTTTAGCCGACCATACCAACAGGTATGTTAAGCTATTAAGATCGGCAAAAAAGTTTTTTTAATTTCACTCAAAATGAGTTATTTGGATCATAAATGACCTAAATACAAAATGTTTTCATGGTGTCTGTCTGTCTGTCTGTCCGTCTGTCGTCTATAACACGATAACTCAAAAACCGCTAAACCAATTTTAACCAAATTTAGCACAAAAATACTGTGGCACCCGAGAATCTGGCTATTAGTTTTTGGTGGTGGTGGGGGGTTGGTAAGGGGGTATGGTAAAAGAACTGCCTACCAACTTTTTATTAACATATTTTAGTATGGGCGGCTATACGTGCCTCCCGGCGCCAATTTTTATATACAGTATGTCCCCGGATTGTCTTTACAAGAGAAAAAACTTTTTGAGAAAACGCATTCTTCATAAAAAATGTTGCTTGTAAAAATGGTTAATCCTCTAAATGATATTTGTATTTAAATTCTGTGTTTGTTTACTAATTTTCTGTTTTTTAATGTAAATTTTTAGCTGCATCAGCACAATAAATCTTGTTTATTAATTCACCAAATAAGTATTGCAAAACCAATTAACACTTTTTAAGGCGTTTTTATTTTTAATAACCAAATGGCGCCTTTTATTAGTCAAAAAGGGTGTTACAGGGTGTTCCAGCTGAAATAGTGGAGTACAACATCATAAATATCTAGTTTTGACTCATGCTGAAGAATATATCTCTTTAACATTTTTCATAGTCAACTAATCACCCAATGAGATTTACTATCTGTACACTAGAAAATTATACCATATGGTGTTAAATAATCAGTTTTAATAATATACCGTTCATAGTTACAAAGATATAAGATGGCATGTCATGAAATTGGATGTTACTTCACGTCATACGGAAATAAATATGTAGGTAGTTAAAAATGTCATAAAACAATTCTTTACCACGATATTATTTGTTCGAATTATATTTACAGTACAAAATAATATAATCAGGAAATGTTATTTGGCACTTAAATAAAATTTAATAAGTTACTTTTAAGTTGATGGATCCATTTTTATGTATAATTAAGTTTTAAATTATATTTTCTAAAATGAAATTTCCTAGTACGTAAAACGTATGCTCCGTTCCCATTTTCATTTTACGTCAAATCCCAAAATTGCCAAAAGTAATATAAATACGCCACATTCATTTAGATTTATACCTCTGTTATTTAGATTTATACTCCAAGCAATGGGATTTTATTATATATACAGTTGGTATAAAAATATATTAAAAATTATGCTGAGAATGAAAAACCGTATGATCGAAAAAAAAACGGTGTCAGCGATGGCATGAAATGAAGATCGCTGTCATTTTATACGTAAATTTATATAGGAAATGTCATCGATCGTCATTTCCCAGCCAACGGACGTCGTTTTTTTATCATACATACATTTTTGCAACAAATTACTTTAAATCAGGATAGGCATGATTTATATCAAGCGATTTTTTTATTTTAATCATGTGATTTAAATAAAAAAAAATCAACTTTTTTAAAATTTATAATAAATAAAAAAATTGGCGCCCGGATATGTTAATAAAAAGTTGATAGGCAGTTCTTTTAGTTTCGAAGTAAAGGAATTTTTCCAATTTTTTTTATCTCAAAAACTGCGACTTTGATTTTGATGTTATTACAAATTTTGTTGCAAATATTATTCCTAATCTTAAATTGAAAACCGCTTTTCGCTAGCTACTGTAATTTTGGAGTTACGATTTTTTAAAATTTTTAACCCCCTCCCATACCCCCTTACCAACCCCCTACCACCACCAAAAACTAATGGCCAGATTCTCGGGTGCCACAGTATTTTTGTGCCAAATTTGGTTAAAATCAGTTTAGCGGTTTTTGAGTTACCGTGTTACAGACGGACAGACAGACAGACACCATGAAAATATTTTGTATTTAGGTCATTTATGACCAGGGTTCGGAAAACTACATGTTACTTTTAAAAACTACATAAACTACATTACATGTAGTTAATGTAGTTTATGTAGAGGGTGTAG